TTCTGTAGAATATGTAGTAATGTCCCCACTTTCATTTCTGATTTTAGTAATTTGAGTCTTCTTTATTTTTTTCAGTCCATCTAGCTAAGTTTGTCAATTTTGATGTCTTTGAAGAATCAACTTTTGGCTTCACTGACTTTCTCTATTGTTGAGTAGAGGAATGAAATCAACAAGAAAATAGAAAGGAAAGAAGAGGAGAACATAAAGAGTGGTCCACATAAAAGAGGACAGAAAGACAGGAATATAGAATAAATCATTGTCTCAGATGTTACCCATGGCACCAATCCCTCTGCTTTCCCAGAAATCATTCTCTACCAAAAAGTTCAAAAAGAACATTTAGAAAGGATGATGCCTACCATGTATTCCACATATTACAAAAGCTTGCCAGATTGAAAGCCAGAACATTCATTTCATTTTACACAGTTATTTCAAAATGAAGTGTGAAAAAATTTTTCATGTGGAATATAATAGAGAGCTTATTCCAATCAAGTTTTCAACCTAAAATATCAATCTTTTCAATCTGCTTTAATCTTCATTGTTTCCTCCCTTCTGTTAGCTTTGGGTTTAGTTCTGTTTTCTAGTTCCTTAAGTTGTAAAGTTAGCTCATTGATTTGATATCTTTCTTATTTTTTTTAATGTAAGCATTTATAGATACAAAATTTCCCCTCAACTCTGCTTTCACTGTGTCCCATAAGTTTTAGTTTGATTATATGTATATATATATATATATGTATATATATATATATATATATATGAATTTTATTGGGGAACAGTGTGTTTTTCCAGGACCCATCAGCTCCAAGTCAAGTAATTGTTTCAATCTAGTTGTATAGGGCACAACTCAGTGGCCCATGTGGGGATCAAACCGGCAACTTTGGTATTATGAGCACTGCGCTCTAACCAGCTGAGCTAACCGGCCACCCCCGTTTGTTGTTTTCATTTTCATTTATCTCTAATTATTTTCTAATTTCACCTGTGATTTTTTCTTTGATCCATTGGTTGGTTAAAAGTATGTTGTGTAATTTTCACAATTTTGTGAATTTTCCACTTTTATTTCTAACTTCATCCCATGTGGTCAGAGAAGATATTTTGTGTATCTATCTTTTCTAAGTTATTGAGATTTATTATGGTCTATCCTGGAAAATGTCCCATGTGTACTTGAAAAGAATGTGTACTATGCTGTTGTTGTTGGGTAAAGTGTTCTGTATATGTCTGTTAGACTTATTTTATTAAGCCCCCTATTTCTTTACTTATCTTCTGTCTATGTGTTCTATCCATTGTAGTGAGTGGGATATTGAAGTCTTCAACTATTATTGTAGAACTATTTCTCCCTTCAATTCTGTCAGTTTTTGCCTCATATATTTTGAAGATCTATTATTAGGTGTGTAAATGTTTATAATTGCTATATCTTTTTGCTGTAGTGAGTCTTTTATTAATATGTAATGCCCTTCTTTGTCTTTTGTAACTTTTTTTTTATTTAGTCTATTTTATCTGATATTAGTCTAACCACTCCTGCTCTCTTTTGGTGATTATTTGCAGGAAACATTTTTCCATCCTTTCACTTTCAACCTGTTTGTGCCTTTGGATCTAAAGTGAGTCTTTTGTAGACGGTATTTTGTTGGATCATGTGTTTTTATCCATTATGCCAATCTTTGTCTTTTGGAGAGTTTAACCCATGTGTGTGTGTATATATATATATATATATATATATATATATATATA